AAAGCATAGGAATATGCCGGATCTGTGTCTTGCTTTGTCATAGTTAAATAGAGGAGCATCCATGAGTCTTATGAGTCTTAGTTAAGCTATAGGGGGAAGAATTGCTCTTTGCAGTAAGCAGTTTCCTGGAACACAACAGGATGGGGGTACTTCTTAACCATCACTATTTTTCAGGAGCACAGGGCTTAGGTAAAATCCAACATTATCAAGTAAAAAGGGGGTATTGTCTGAACTCAAATCTTCGGTTTCCAGGAATGTAGTCAACATACTTTAATGTGTATTTCCTTGTGTCCAGATAATATTACTTCATTAGAGGTCCCCAAACAGTATGCATTTTATGTCAGGTATTAAACCACTCAGCAATTAGGACATTATATAGCCCCCATCCCTTCCTGATCCAAAACAGAACCTAGATTTCCTTAAAAACTTGTTTTATATTAGGTACATCTCCAAAACAATTCTTCTATAGGGCAAAGTGAGGGTTGGGGAAGATGAAAGAAAGCAGTCTCCCAAGGACTGTGGGGAAGGAGGGCAGAATTGTTTTATGGGGCTGTAGCAGGAGAGGATCGGCTGAAGTTTAGCTAGTTTTGAGAACAGGAGAATTGCTCTTATGGATTAGCAGTCACTGCTGGAGTTCAAGATAACTCAGACAAAACAGAGAAAGGGATCTGTGCTCTATATTCAATAAAAAATATGACAGAAAGAAGTAGCCTAAACTCTGAAAAGATGTTAGCATCTTTTAAGAGTCACCTATGCCTAGATACACACATGAAGATAATAAAGCATTGTAAATTGATATCTAAGCTTTAGTCTCTCCTTTATGTTTTTCTTTAAACAAATAATGGTCTATAAAAATTGACCTATTTTAAAATGAAAAACCTCAAAAGGCTAGCACTTATCTAGATCAACCTTTAATTAATATAAGTATTTGTCCAGTTAAACATTGCAGTTATTGATTTTAGAAGACTTAGGTCTCTTACAAATTTAATCAGGCTTAAAAATAATGCATATAATAGAGCATTATTATATGGCTTATATATGGCTAATAATCAACTATTATGTCATGTCTTCTCTTCCTCCAAATTATTGAGTAGACTAGGCATTTAATAAGTCCCTCAAATCCTTAAAGTCTTTACTAATCTATTGCCTTAATTCTACTCTGCCTGTTTTCAACATAGAGGCCAGTGTACTTCTTTTAAATGTAAGGTAAATCATATTACTTCCATGTTTAAAATCCAGCAATGGAACTTTACTAAAGTCAAAGCAAAAGGTAATGTCCTTACAACTCTTAAAATTCCTCATGTGATCTGCCCCTAGCCTTTTCTATTCCAGCCACACACTTCTGCTCAGGGCTTTTGCATGAGCAGTTGGCAATTTCCTCTTCCTGGAATGCTCACCTATAATATCCACATTGTTCATTCTCACTGTCTTCAAAGTCTGCTCAAATATCAACTTCTCAATGACATTTTTCTTGAACATTCCTACCAATCTCATTATTTTATTATCTTGTCTGTCTTGCTCAGTTAGAATGCAAGTTCTATGATGTCAGAGATCTTTGTTTTGTTCACTGACACATTCCAAGTGTACAGAACAGTGCCTGATCCATGATATGCATTCAATAAATACCTGTTGAAAGGATTAATAACAATAAATGAATGAGTGAATGAAAAATTTCACACTTAACCCTTACCCATGTTTTGCTGTAAATTTATTAGACAACTGTGAGTCCAACTTAATTTTCTATATTTTCAATCTCTGAAAACAGATTTATATAAAGCTTTTTTCTTAAATGCTGGAGAATAGGAATAGGGAGTTAAAGAGATTTTTTACATATGAAATTGTCTTATTGTTTTATTATGGCCATTATAAGAAATTCAGGCAACATGATATATAAAGAAACAAGGTTTTATAAACTTTTTATAGCAAACTCAAAATCATAGCACCCAGACCTAAGCATTATTAAACTTATATAAACATCATTACAGGTATCATCTCCCTCGATATAGAGTTTGCATATGATAAAGATATTACAGATTAGATGAAAATATTGTAGATATCTCTTCTTCTCTTTCCCACTGTCTCTGACTTTGTATACATGTATGTATGAATATATATGTATATAAAATAAGAGAACTTTTATTATTAATTAAAGGCTTACAAAAAACCAGAATGTCATAAATTGGCAATGGCCTAGTAGCCTAAGTTCCAGCCTACCAGATAGGAAATTCTTATGACATTGGATTCCAAAATGTATGTATGAATTGGCTTGATGTATTAATAATTTAAGGTAAATATAAGCCTAAGAGATATTTAAACACTGGTATTAATTTATATGAGTCAATTCAAAATAAGAGACTTCAGAGATTTATAAATTATGAGGTCAAAAAATCTTGTACATTTGCAGATTAAGAGCTAAAAATCCATTCTTGATCAATATCATATGTATATGCATATATAATATGTATGCATATATGTATATATGTAATGTAGTTTACATATGCACAACGGAGACAGACTGTAGAAATGCTTAGGTACACAGATATAGATAAGTGGCAAAATAGATTTTTATAAAATGTATTCTCATTTAAAAATAATTCAATTTAATTTAACATATATTTATCAGAAAAAGATAAAGAATTCAAATTTGCACACATTTTTCTTTATCATAGATATTTCAATCATAAAAGATATTTCTTCCCAAATGAACTCTAAACTTTTAAGAAAAAAATGTTCAGGAAGAAAACATTTTTATATATTTTAAATGACATGAATCATTTTTAGACTTCATTAATTTATGATTCCCTGCTGTGATAAAGGAATTAGTATAGTTACATTACATTCCACATCTTAAGTTTTATTGACATATGATTCTGCTATACTGCATAGAAATACAGAAAGAAACACTCTTTATTGCAGGAAAACATATAGTTTATGTATGCATATGTAAAAGGTTTCATTGGAACATTTAATCAATGTGTAAATGCACTGTAGCAGTTATAAGTTGTCAAATTGCAATATTTAGACAGAGAGCTACCTTCTGAAATATATTTAACAATGTATTCACATTTGTTTTTGTTTTTGTTTTTTTTGATTTGTGAAATAGTACCAGTGAGAAATGTGCTTTCTTAATAATTCCACAAATTCATTAAATGTCTGGAATGAATCAGAGGTAGGGATGTAGCTTATTAATACGAACATTTAAGGCAAGTTAAAAGCAACCATAATTGTATTTTATGGAACGGTGACTATGTGTTAAAAGCTGTGTGAAGATTTGAGTAAAAGCTTTGGTTGATTTAATGTACACAACTATTTAATGTGGTAGATGATTTCCTCATATTGTAGTTAAGGAAACCGAAAGTTGGAGAGCTTAAAATTACTTGTCTCAGTTTCGCAGCTGGTAAGTGAAGAAGTTGAAAACTGAAGGCACACCTCTGTGCTCTCCACCACTGTGTGATTGCTGTTTGTGCCTCCTACAAAGTGTCAAGAGTATAATACAGCTTGATTATGAGGCCTTTCTTATTTTTGTTAAGGGAACATAAGTCTCACAGAAAAAGAATCCTAAAACAAAGGCTGAACAATGTTAGACAATTCAGTTTCCTGGGGCAGCAAGCATTCAACTCCTAACTGGTAGTTGCCTAAGTTGATTTTCCACATCTTCTGTTTTCCACATCGTCTTTTCTTTATTCTTCAGCAAGATCTCATCAGAAAAATACTGTAAGGCAGACTGACCAGTGGGGTGGGGTGGTGAGAGGAAAGGAAAGCAAGTAAGTAGTAGTTCAAGAAGACAGACTTTAGCTATTCTGGTCTGTACAAATGTAAAAGTGAACAAACACTTCATTATCTTCGGCCAAGTCTCTTGGCAGGCACACTGTAGACTTGCGCTCGATGTCCTCCTACAGTATCCTGCTTGTTTTCTTAACAAGGTCAAACCAGGCACCTACCAGACGCCCAAGGCAAATTTTTTTTTTTAAAGAACAGAAAACAGGTCAGTTTGGCATGTGAGAGAAGTTCCTTCCTGAGGTATCAGAGTACTTTAAAGTATAGTACCTCCCCCCAACCCCAAAATGCTTCACAGTATGGACTCCAAAAGGAGCATTAAATAAATAAATAAAACATTTGCCATGAGTAGTTATTAAAATGAATGCATTTACATTTAAATGTCTATAAATATTTAATAATATGCATTCTAATGTTAATCTACAATAATAATATAAAGTTTTTAATAAGGAAAAGGACATTAAGGAAATTGCCATTTGTGTCAAAACAGAACAAATACTTACAGGGAAATAATTTGCATTTTCAATTAAAATCAAGTTATACCATTAGAAAAAAAAATGTATTTTCCAGAAAACTACCTATAAATTAATATTATTTCTGTCTTTTCTTTTGAATATTAGTAATTCTATACCAATAATATAGTTTTTAGTTGTTTGTATTAATCTAAATAACTGCTGAGAAGTGCAATATTTTTATCTTAATCTGGTAATCCTGCCATAGTAAAATATCTATACATTCTCCCACTGCTGTAATGCTCTACAAGTGTTCATGCTCTTAGGAAAACAAGTATCCTGATCCTGCACCTTGGCATATAGCTATGTGCCACATATCACAGAATTAGGTAGAAGCTATGATTTATAACACCAACCACATGAACTCAGATGAACACCATGGCTCCTATAAGCATAGACAGCTTTATTTGTACAACATAGTTGGCATTTCCCATGAGCCATGTAAAAGCTCAAACAGTATCATAAATTCAAAAAGGCTGGACATAAATAGGACATGGTTGATGACCTCTTACTACGTTATTCAGCTTCCAGCATCATTGGGAGTTAAATGCTGAAAACAGAATTTTTTCAAGGGTTCATATTCGGTAAACATCAGCAAAAACCAGGCCGTCATCATTTTTCATTTAATAAATGTCATTTCAAGTTGAGAGTGATTTTTTTCCCCCAGCAGGCCCATCAGAATGTCATATGTGTGCTTTGTTTGATTTATAGGATTTTAGATCACTATGTTCAGGAGCAAATTCCTGGTGCCAAGGTTGTAGTGGAGTCCATTGGTGCTCGCCGGCACGGAGATGCATTTTCTCTGGAAGATTACACCAAATGTGACTTGACTGTCTATGCGATTGACCCCCAAACCAACAGGGCCATCGACAGAAATGAGCTTTTTAAGTGAGTACTTTTACTGTTTGTAGCACTTCTCTGGTAATAGTATCACTCAAATAACCCTGATTTAAGGCCATGAGTACTTAAAGTTTAAAGCCCATGAAATTGTTGCTGAAAGTGAAAATGTAAGCAAAAAAAAAAAAAATCAAAAAGACAATACTTAGAATCCTCATGCCTAGAAGTTCCCAGGTCCAAGCATGCATTCAGGTCCAAGTAGACTAATTTCAGAGGGTCTGTTCTTTTGGTGTCAGAGGGTCCATATACTTACGAGCAAGAAGCAGTGTCACCTCCCATCAGCTTCCACTCTTGCTCCAAGGCCCTAGCTCTTTGAGAAGAAAGCACAGATTCCTTCTTAAAGTGGCAGTTTGCCTCAAACAATGTAATTAAGCTTGAGTTTTAAGAACAAATCTAGCTTTCTTCAAGGTCTTACTGTATCAGAAAAAACTGGACTTGGTGGTGGAGTACAGAGGGGATAGTCACTTCCATCTAAGTCCATACCCTATGGTAATATTTCATCCTGATGTGTATTTGAGCTATAAACCCTAAAAGTAGAGAAAATGCAGAATCTTAACTAAACACTGTTAGACATTTACCCTTAGAAGTCATTTTAGAAGAGCTTAATAGGCTTGTTTTTAATGTTAGTTTCTGCTTTACTCTAGTGACACCTACTGTCCAACAGATTCTTAGAATGCAATTATTATTTAAATTGAAATACATTTTTATTTAAAAACATATTGATATATAATCATATGTATATATTCTAAATATTTATAGGTATGTGTATAAACACACACAACTATGTACCAAAATCCATAACTGCATAATATAGTTTTTTGTTTACATATACTAAAAAGCATATAAATATGTGCATATACAAATTTACATATATATTCAAATGAGGCTGCATTTATTTTAGTAAATATCTATTTATCCATTTATTTATCTAAGTCCGTCAGTTCTGAATTTAGTTTACTTTCTTTTCATCAACAAAATTCCACTGCTGCTATTTTAGCAATAATGAAATAGTGATTTAATATCAACTTGATTTTTAAAAGAGCCAAAGTTATTAAGTATGTTATTCATAAATTTACATATAATAGGTGTTTGGGCCATATGCAAGATAGTATATTAATCATTGTTGGGAAATACTGATGACTGATGCAGTTCCTTCCACTCAGGCTTTAGAATCACTATCCAAATGAACTGGAGTATTTAGCTCCACCAAACCAATATTTTCATAGTTTATTAATTTAAATTTTTTATTTGGGAATATACTTGAAAAACATTTAATATATTCTTTCTATTTTCATTTTTAACATTTATTTAAATCCATCTGCATTCTGTGTTTTTCATACATTGGTTTTATTTTTAAGTAGTGTGATAGATTATTGGAATTGAGGACATTTTTCCTAAATATAAAAACATCTATTATCTTTAGGCTGTTGGCCTAGCTTTAATGAGTAAAAGAGTGATGATTATAATTTGAATTGTAAATATTTTAGAGATAAAAGATTTGGAAACTGAAGCCAGTTGGATTTCAACTGACACCATACATATAAGATAAACATCTTTGATTCTAAACAAGCTTTCCCAAACCTTGATTATATTGTGAAGAGTAGAGATCTAAATTCAATTGAGTAACATAGCCAGAAAGGGAAGGAAAAATATAGAATAACTATAAACCAAAATTTGTTTATACTCAGGAGAGGATGGAATGGACATGAAGTATTAATTCCTTTAACAATCTTCACCTTTAACTAGTAGCTGAGAATCAGTGGTCTAACTTAAATCCTAGAATTGTTCCTTGAAATATTTTATAATCGAATTGGATATATTTCATAATCTGAGGCTGATAGTACACAGATATTTTATTTTCTGTAGCTATGAAAGTTACTGAAAATTTTGTCTTTAACCCTGAACAAAAAGATACTACAACTTAAAAGATTGTTGCCTAAGGTCCAGGACAATGAAAGTAGAATTTTTCTCTCAATATCCTCTTATCCTAAAATCTAAGCTTTTTAGGATACTGGAATTCTCAGGCCAAAGAATTAGAAACAAACCAGATACTCCCTCCAAAGAGTTCATTTTGATTTTAGAAAATGATTTAATCATATCAAAACTTTTTAAAAATCCTGTAAAAGCATCAAGAAGACTAGAATAATTTTAATGACATGTTGATTACTTATTTTGCTTTACAAGATTATGAGTATTTTAATTTTTCTTATTTTTGGTTACCTGAATTATTTAAGCTTTCTGCAATCAATAAGTATCACGTTTATCCTGCTTTTATTTTTCTTGTGGTTCTTTGAACCTTGGATCTGCATCTCCTGTTTGTTTTTTGGGGGGTTGTTTTCATATCTGGAATAGTCTCTGATATTATCTTTGCAAATGTTTTTTATTCCCCATTTTCTCTTTATTCCCTTTCTGGGACTTAAAATTCACTTTTTGTCATGGCTTTTGGATGCTCTATTCTTGTTCTTTCCCCCAACTCCTTTTGTGTTTGTATTTAGTTTGGATAATTTCTATTACTGTTTTCAAGTTCACTGATTTATCTGTTTGAGCCTATTTGCTATGCTCATTGAAGGAATTCATCTTTGTATCTTTTTAAAATTTTTCTTGAATTTCAATTTGGTTGTTTTTTATAGTTTTTACCACTTTACTGAATTTCCCCAGCAGTTCAAACATGTTCCACGTTCCACTGGATTCTGTAAGTATTAATTAGAGTTGTATTAAAGTCTCAGTCTGATAGGTCCAATATCTGGGCTATCTGTCTGTTTCTATTGCTTTCTTAATCTTTCTGCAGCCCCTGCATGCAAGCAACACAGAAGGGGTTCCTCTCCATTCTTTTAACTCTCCCCATGTGGTTAATTGCTCTTTCTTTTTGCTTAGTTCTACTCTTATTGTTGGGATAGGATAACAGGGACATTAGGTTAGGGGGTCTTCTTTCTCCTTGTTTAGCCTGTATGCCTTGGAATTGAGGTCAGACTTTCTCAGCTTTTCTTCCTTCCCCAAGAAAGCCCTTGCTCCTTGCCCAGAGGTGGTGAATTTTTGCTTATACCTCTTTCCCAGAGATAGTGGATCTTTGCCTGATCTCTAGGGATTGCAGTACTAAATAGTCCTCCACCTCTTTCTGGCTTAAGGTTCTTTCTTTGTATGAGATTCAGGTCCAGGGAACTGCAGAGTGCCCCTGCCCGTACATCTCTGCACTACGAAGGGATTTCTCTTGTCTCTTGCCTTGCCCCCAATCTGTCTTATGGAAGTGGATGGGAAAGAGTTTCCGAGTGAGTACCAACCCCACCCCTGGGGTTTTTGTAGGTCTCTTACTCTAACCTTATACATTGGTACACACTTAGATTCTAAAAAATGTGTTAAAACTTCAGCGATTCCTGTTGTTTAATCTTATGCCAGCCACATTAACCTTGCTCTGCAAAAGATGAAACAACAGCTGGTCTCATCTCACTGTGGAGGAAACTGTCATTCCTTAGAATTTGGTTTCTGTTGCAGAAACATTTATGTTTTGAGTATTACCTGACATTTTTTCTCATCAGGGTGGGAGGCACATTCTCTTGTGGCTTTCTGCATCCTAAGCAAAAAGCAAATACAGTTTTAGCTTATGCACCTGTCTGATATATCAAACCTGTTTAACATTATTCTGTCCAGATGGTAAGTTGAAATGGAGAGGGTCCAAAAAACCTGTATGCTCTACAAACTGTGTTTAAAATATAATATCTAAAAACACACTTAACACTTTAAAATAGAATCTGACTTTGAAGCTCTGATAAAACTTCTTTCAAATTCAAAGTCCAACAAAAATGCATAATACTGAAAATTCAAATGAATGGGAAACTATTAGGATCTTGTTAAAATAATTTGAAGCTGTACAGAGGAATAATGGTTTACCCTTGATTTATTATGTCAAACAACCACATCCAAGTGAAATGGATGTGAGCGGATGTGTTAACAATTCCCACTCTGTAAACCTGTTGCAGAGACACCAACTGTGTACCTGTAAGGGAAATAAGCAGCTGCCCCTCTACTGTTTAGGTATGGGGATTTGTGCAGTACTGAGTACATTCTCTCTCCTGTTCACCCTCCCCTTTATTTCTACATCCATATGTACACTGCAACACCAAAATCATCAGGGTAAAATGCAGGGTGGACTAGTTGCACACTGTACTTGGAAAGCTGTGTTCACTCAAGTAATGAAGGCAGGAATACATGTTTGCACATGTTCCATCAGTTGAGTGAATCAGAAGCCATGGAATTGGCTTAGGAATTTATCTCATCTCAGAAAAACAGCAGATCAGATTTATCAACTTTCTGGAACATGGCAGAGGGGAAAATGGGACCAGTAATAACTACTGAAAACAAAGTAAAGGAAATAACATACTGATGACTCAGAGGTAGAATATATTTCTGGAAATACTATCCTACAGAACTATGGTGGATCAGATCCACCATATTTTAAGGAAAAATGTTATGACTCAGGAAATTTTAACTAAACAAGTTATTTTGCATGTATAATGATATTCTAGATCAGATATGAGTTCAAAAGTGATCAAATCTTCTAGTGAACCATTATTCATGACATTTACCTAAATTTAGAAATAAACCAAAATAAATAACTAAATAATGGAGCTATTGTCATATGAAAAGACTAACAAATCTCTATTCAGGTGGTTTGGATATCCAGAGAAGGAATCCAATAGAATTGTGATCTCTCTAGTGGATCCCACATCATAAGGGTTATTTTTTCCCCTGCATTAATGATCTTCCTCTATTTCTGATCCTTCTCAGTTTCTAACATATATTTCTTGTGACAAACTCTTAATCTGTGCTTTCATTGGAATTTCTTACTCTATCTGAACAATTCAAACAAAATATTTTAACATTCTATTCTAGTACTTGGAACGATTCAAACTTAATTATATTTTTTAACATGTCTAAAAATGACACAGGAAAATTGCTATGAACAGTATACTTGTCATCTACAAAAGTATATTGGTAAAAAAAGAAAAGAATTAGAGGCATCCTACAGCCTTAATGTTATAGTAATGAAACGTGAGTAAAAAAGTGTGTAGCTTTAAAACCAAAATTGAATTATTTTAGTCATTAGGTTTTTAAATTGGAAGACTAATAAACTACCCAGTGATCTGAACTATCTGATATCAGGCATCTCTTTGTTTTTTTCTATATGGAAGCTATGAACAGTGTGTTAACTAATTTTAAAGGCAGTATGATCACTTGCAAAATTAGAATAAAAAGTGTCTAAATAGATAAAGTTTCAGATGCACAAGCATGGTATTCTTTGGTTATCCTTTGATGATGAAATTTTGGGCTACTTTTATGCTTTCTTTCATATTTCATCATAAGTATGATATTTTATATTATAAAATATATTTCTAAAATAATTTTACTTTGCATATGTTGCATAATCACAAGTATATAAGAATATTTATTAATAGCAAAAACATAAAGGTTAGATTTGAGTATATCAAGGTGTTTGTAGTAGCTGTCTTTGTGTTGAGACTAATTTTGCTTTTTGAACTGTGGTTTCCAATTTTCTATAGTAAGACATTTGACCTTTATAGGTAAAAATCTTTAAAAACCAAAAAAGAAAAGTTCCTAAAATGTGTTGTGGCTTTATGGTATTAAAAACACAACTGTTGCATCAGTACTGAAGGATTTGTAAGGGATTATTCAAAAGTTCCCAAAGGAATTTGGGGAAAAAAATTACCTGTCAATTAAATCATAAAATATGTAACAGAACTGTTCAATCTAATAAAACAAAGTAACAATTACTCCTTTATTCTCCTTCTCAATGCAATGCCCATAATTGGAACTGCATGATTTAGAGAAAGGGTTTGTAAAAATTACTGGATTAAACTGCATCAATTCCTGTCATCCTGACTACACTGATTTGCTGTCTGAACTATTTATTTAGTCTTCTCTTTCTAGGGAGAAAACACCTTTTAATTTGTTCACCCTTTGCCCACAGAACATTGTTTTGGTTTGAAGTTTGAGAGTGTCAACATTTAAGATTGGGTGGTGGAACACAAATATAGACTTTGAGTCTGAAGGCTTGTGCAGTAAATCTGTATTGTAATGTTCAATTTTAAAGGATTCAAGGACATAAAATGCAGGAATATAATTTTAAGCTAGTCAGAATAACTTAAGATACTATATTTTATTCCACCTGAATAACTGCATAATATAAATGATCTCAACATGGTGATACTAAGTTCAATGGTATTGACCATTTCTTTTCTCAAGTCTGTAAGCAAACTAAGGGTCGCTGTTATATTGGATATGTGTATATAGATATATAGTTTCTCTTCTTTATTCTTGCTTTATATGCTTTTCTTATTCATAATAAGACTTCTGACTCAGCTTGTGTTTGAAATAAAGGAAATATAAAGAGATACTACAAAACTGTTTTATTTTTTAGAAAGGCCTTTCTGTTAACATCATTGGTTTTACTATTTATCTATAAACAAAGATTTTTGGACGGCAAATTGCTCGATATCAATAAAGACTTTCAGCCATATTATGGGGAAGGAGGACGCATTCTGGAGATCCGGACTCCAGAGGCTGTGACCAGCATTAAAAAACGAGGAGAAAGTCTAGGCTACACCGAAGGCGCCTTGCTGGCGCTGGCCTTCATCATCATTCTCTGCTGTATTCCTGCCATCTTGGTGGTTTTGGTCAGCTACAGACAGTAAGTGTTTACAGATGCTCAATAGAGAGAGGTTCTCAAGAAGGTATGATTGAAAAACCAGCTCTGGTAACATGGCTTTGCAATTGTAAAACATTTACGCTGCAACCATTCTGGGACTGTGGTATCCTTGCCATTGACTTTCCTTGCAGGGAAAACAAACTTCCCATACATTTCTCACATATCATTCAGTGCTCCTACTATGTTCTTATCTAATATAAGTATTATGTAAGCTCTTGTGGCTTTGTGTATGCCCTTCATTGGGTTAAGAGCCTTGGAAGAGGAGGTACTAGGTACTCTAGGGAATTGGCAGCAAATGTCATATCCAGAAACCCCTGGTCCAAAGGAAGGTCTGTAAGCAAAGCATATTGTCATGATAGGTTTGTATCCATATTGTTTAATTTACCTCGTGCAGATGATCCCAGTGTTAGTAGAAGTATTTGAAATCAAAGCACACTGTATCTAACGTTCCGTGTGGTTCTTCCTTCCTGGGTAGCCTTGCTCGAGCCTACATGGGAACAACTGACAGGGTATTTTGGCCATACCGACCTTCCATTATTCTGGTTCCTGTAGGCAAATACATCCATTTAAAATCTCTGTTTTTCTCATTTAGACCCTTCAAAGTAGTCAAGTAATTACAACTAATTTCAACATCTATATATGTAGTAGTGTAGTAAGCTATCCCTATTTGACACTCACTATGCAGAACCTTTGTGATTAAGAACATTCCCCATTGACAATGACAGGTGAAAAAAATGTGGAAGAGGTTACGGAGAGAAGCAGCCCTAAAAGTGCCACAAAATGGAAATAAATAACAGGAATCATAAATCATATAAATTAATTAACATGACAAATAGTAAAAACTAGGGGTGGAATTGCTGTTTATCATGTAAAATACCTACAGGGAAAGTACTGAAATCACTCTTATATATTCTTAACCTGTTATTTTTGTTCTCTAACACTGAGAGTTTTCTTTTCAGTTAAATAAGGTAAGGCCATCCCAATCTGAAAGTTGAAAAGTATACTCTGCATGCAGATGCTGTAGGAATATTTTCCATTACAATAACAATGTGGAGTTGCGAATGCAATATTTAGGTCGATATATTGGAGTTCAGTTTATCCTTAAGAAATCAATTAACATGCTAAATCTAAAGCCTATGAACAAAGTTAATATTGGACAAATGGTATTAATTATTAAGTATTAACCCAATATTAGCTTCCATGTTAAATCTAACTGTACTACTGTTATTATTTTCATTCTGTTTCCCAAAGGAGCTTCGTTATATGCTGCTAGCAATAAAATTAGTGAGAAAACTTCTTATACTTGGCACACAATGCAGTGATCAAAATTGAAGCACCCTGGATATTGTACTCAGTGGTCTGAAATTTAGCAAAAAATGATGATGTTGAATATTTAAACATTTTGTAGATGCATTATTTGTTTTTTAAACAAGCATCAGCTTAACACTGTATGAATTAATTTTAGTTATTTCTTGTTACAGATTCACAGAATTAAAATGAGTTTTTCACTGCTCATGTTGCAAAGTAAAATTCTAATATTTAAAAGTCTAACTCTTGTACCTTCATGTTGTGCTTTTAAGATTGAAATGGATGGTTCTTCTTTTATATTAACATATGTCTGCAATTTGCTGTGCATAGGAAGTAAATATGAGGAAAAAAAGTGTCATGAATTCATTCCCCAGGAATGGTATCTTCCAATTCTGACTTCAGCTTCAAAGTGAGGCCAAGAGTATAATCAGGGCTTACCTCCTGACCATTCCTTTAATATTCTTCAAGTGAAGAAAGTCAATAAGCCAATTATAAAGATCAGATCATCTTTAATATCCCATTTCTCTATCAGAGTTGAAATTCACATATCCAGTGAATTTTAATCTAATTTTTCTTATTCCATTTGGTTTATTTTCCTCTAATGAATGTTTTAATAGCTTGTATGACTGTGACAGTAATAATAAGTGTTCACCATTCTCACCTCCTGAGTTGAAATACTTGGTTTCCCTGCTATGTCATTAAGTGTGTGTCATTATGAGTTTAACCAGTAAATTATTCATAATTTAGAGTAAATCAGACATTAAAATACTATGAATGCAATATTTCTAATGGAGCTTTCTCTTTTTTTTTTCCTTACCCATTGCTCTCCCAAACAGGTTTAAAGTGTAAGTATGATGCTAATATTTTCCTATGACTTTATGGAATATGAAAAGAGAAACGCAGATAATACAGATAAAGTAGTCAGCCTACCCAGAACCATGTATTATTTGTTGATTTTGTACTTGTAGGAGGCACATACCTTCTAGTTCAAATTCCCTGTGGTTTTGTATATTAGAGAAAATTGAGCTGGTTTTGTGCAACTGGATTCAAGTGAAGGAAATGTGAAAAAGAAGGTTTGCTCTGGTGGTTTCCATACTTTAAGATCAATCAGTGTCCCAGACATTCAAAAGGAGCAGCCCACCTCTAATGCAAGAGTCACAAGCATCCATGGATTCCAAAGGAAATAAAAAATTCCAAATCTCCCTCCTAAATGGGCACACCTACACAGCCTTTTATAAACTAATATCAAAGTGTTTCAAACCATTTTTAAATGAAATGACTTCTCTTTACATGGAAAATGAGTAACAAAGGAGAATTACATATCTTCTATATGCCTTACATTATGAAAGAGATTTGTTTAACAACCAACAATTATTAATAACATTTTTAAAAATTTGCCTTCTCCTTTTAATATTTTCATTCAACTCAATTTGCCAATATTTCTATTGACTTCTAAAACTGTTAGTCAAGGGGTCAAATTTTTAAAGAAATTTTAAGCGAAGAGGATATATGCAAATGATACTTTCCTAATTTCATCAGTTTATAAATTCTAATATTTGGGGAAATATTTTTAAGTGGGTTCCCCTAATAACTGTATTTTACTACTAAAAGGTAGCCTACTGGTAAGTATATGGTCTCTAAAATGAGTTTTAACAAAACATCGTTACTTTACCGAAGTCGCCAAGCGGAGTGCACCAAGACCGCGCGAATCCAGTCGGCGCTCCCCGCGGCTAAGCCTGCGGCGCCCGCCCCGCCCGTGGCCGCGCTCCCGCCCCCGCCCCCGGCTGCACATCTCTATGAAGAGCTCGGGGACAGCGCAATGTAAGTACGCTTCCAGGAACCTTGAGAAACAGATGGGTTTTGAGTGGATGCTCTGTGGTGAGTATGTAATTTCAACCGGCTGTGATTGCATTTTTTAAAAAACAGAAAAGTGCTAAGATGAGAGCCTTAAGAAAAGTTGCATTGAAACATAATTACCAAAAAGCAAGCAAACAAAACAAAAAGAACATTAAACAATGAGAAAGAGGAAAGAAGCATTCAACTTCAGGCACTTGCACATGAATAGCTTGAATGGTATATTTACTCTCTAACCCTTTAGAATCATGCAGACATTTTTTTCTTCCAAAATTAAAGATTTTGAAAAGTTTTTTTCCTCATAGGAAATGAAGAAAATAAAGCATGGCCATAAAACAAGAATTCCTGCTTTGGTATAGAAAGCCAACTCCTATTTGTTAATTAAAAAACGATTCTACCATCTAAACATAGAAGATACTATTTTAGGATGTCATAAAACTAATTAAAATCTGAATGAAAAAAAGGAATTAAATAATAAATACCCGACCATTTAAAGAGTATCCTTTTCAGTACATTCCTCTCAAAAAAGACTTCTGTGATAGCTTAATATTTCTCCTTTACTACTTGGACTCTCTAAGCAATATTAAATCATACATTTTTGAAAGACTTTTAATTACTGTTAAAAGATTTCACAGATGTTTCTACAATGATACGACCCTCCTAACATGATTTCTTTTGGAAATATCTGACTTGTCTATATTTTAAGAATTCAAGAGTTAAGTGTTTCTGGACATGAAATGTGAAACAACAAACGATATTATAAAATTTTCCAACCCAGGAAAACTTTTATTAACTGGAATTTGATGGTTGTTGTTCTATCTGCTATGTAACATTTATATCATTTACTAGTAGGAATAAAGCAAGCCTCAAAAATTAAGAAGTGAACCTTTTAATGGGAAATCTGGTTTTAAACAAAAATGTCAATATTATTTGCCATATTAATACAAGATTATGTTAAGTTATAAAAATGTTAAAACTAATTTTAATGCATATTTTAATGCTAAAATTGAATTGAAAACAGCTTTAAAGCTTGATTTTCTAAGATATAAGATAAGACTCATGCTTTAAATATTTTTTCATAAATCAAAATGATAGTCTCTTTTTTTGGATCATTGGTGAATATAGGAATTGAGCCAGTATGATTTGATTCTCTTTATGTTAACCACTTCTCACCAGCAAAAATTTTTAGGAACTAAAAAAGATTTATGTATCAAGTTGTGTTTTATATTACATTAGTGAGGGATATATATTTATTTTTATTTAACAAAAGTGGGCTTACTATAACATCATATGGAAACAATATAGTTTAATGGCGATAATTTCAAATAGAAATGCCTAAGGATGATTCTCATTTGAAAAATTGTGGTGGACTTAGAGGATTTTGCAATCACAGTATGTATTTAAATATTGTAAATTCTTCACATTTAATTATCTTTAACAAATATTTGATCTGTGTATTAAAAAACTTTTCACAGGGAATCTAATCATAAGTTTCTAGAAAATGAAGTATTTCCAAGTGAATTATCAAATATTTTTAAAAGGAAAAACAGTTGTAAAAATTCCTGAAGTAATTAATAACTTCATATAGATTCAACAATTTCTCTGTCATCATAGTACTTACATACTTTCTTCTAAACAATACTTATATCTTCTTTATAAATCATTGTGGACTAATTTTTCGGTTACAATGTAGAAGCAAATCTTAGAATTTATAATTTCTGTTTTAGGATTGAAATCATTCATGTTTAAAAGAGGTGAATTTTACCAATGTATCAGAAATAGCTAGATTATAATCATATAATAAGACAACCAAATAATTGCCAATATGGTTTTATCTAAAACATTTTTGCATATTATTCTTTATGAACAAATACAAAGAAAATATAGAAACATGCATTTTCTTTTTTGGATGTAAATATTAAATGTTTAAAATACCTTCCTGTTAGTATTTTCATAATCATCTCGAATTAACAGTAGTTAAAACTCTTTTTTTTTTCTATCGCATGTTTTCTCTTTCTCACCTGTGGATACATAGGCATAAGTAAGTAAATAATATCATTCTAATTCAAGGGCACTAGGGAAAAAAAAGATGCAGTGAATAGATTAAGTGCTGTTTTACTCTAAATACAGTCATCTTTACCTTTTACCATGAAGTCATTTACTTTTAAAAAAAAGGTTGTATCTTCCACACCTCATTCCCTTTTGATGTCTTGAAATGAGCTTAAAACAAGTGTTCTCACTAATAGTACCTGTGCCTACCAAGAGAAGTATCAAAATCTCCCTAATTTATAATTTGTTAGCAATATTTGTAGATATCTTTCAATCAAAAATGGTATGATGTAATTATATAGATAGCTCCTTCCAAGAAAAATTTAACTAAGAACTGATCTACACAAAAACAGTTGCCATATAATGTCAAGACTGTTGTTTAAAAATGACTTTTCAAGATCAGGGAAAGTGCTGTGTGTTTAGTCCAAATTGTCTGTACTTTCTGAGTTAGTATGGTGGGCCTGATAGCCCAAGTCCACCTATAAGAATTTTCTCTTATAATTAGTATCTTTGTCAAATAACACAATGACAACTTTTGCTTTGTATATCAGGGTTTTTTTTTTTTTACCTTTTATCTGTCATCTTAATGTTTCAATATGGTTATTTAATCTTTATTCAAAATATTTCCCTTCCATTTCATTTTTGCTATCTGGGTAAATATTAAACACTAGCAAAAATAAATCTGTCACTCCCTTTGAGCTTGAGATCAAAGTCTAACAAAAGACTATTCAAAACTATAAATAATCCAGCCTTTCCAGAGGAAAGGTCCAAATATTTTCATTAGGGGCACTTATTTGTGCCCCTTAATTTATTCAATTTTATTTATCACTCACAACCACTATAACTCAGTGTCAGTGTATAAGCAAACCTTTCAGTGATATCAAAACTGTTATTTTAACATAAATCTTTTCATTAAATATAGTCTTGTCTAAAATTTGATCCAAATCATGTTAAAAGGAAATACCAATAGCCCTTCTTCTTATTTGTAATATTGATAGTATTTTTAAACTGTTGAAGCATAGAAAACTGAAATAGAAGAGAAAATAACTGTCAAGATTCTGTCATATATTCAGTATCTCAGCTGTGATTTTGATCTCTGTGAAATTCTCCCATCTGTCCTTGGGACTTTAATTCTCTTAATCTGGAGAATTGAAAATTCTTTTCTCTATTCTCTTGCAGGCTTTATCTCAGGAGAATACTTTTAGCTTCATAAATTTAGAATTACTGGGATGAGAGATAATGGACAGGTACTGAATGAGCTACAGCTCAGATCCTTTTCCCAAAACAGCTCTGAGCATCCTCAACTGAGGCAAAGGGTATGAAATCATTAGCCAAAATGCCAGTCTGCAATTTGGGGAACTATGATTTATATATGAGAGAACTGTTATGTGCGATCAGGAATACTTTGCTGTATCAAATCAACTGAAAATAAGAAAAGTCAGTCTACAGATTGATACATTTTTAAAAATTAAAATTTCTCATGCTACTTACAGCTCTCAGGCTTTTCCTGCCCTGCCCTTTTGAGAAGAGGGACATAAAAATAATATCATGCTTCAGTAGATTACTATTATTTGGCCCTTTATAGTTTGAAGTAGTAATGAGAATCATAAAACATCTTTCACATGAAAGCTATGTCACAACCTGTTTCCTTACATTTCATTGTCTTCTTTTCTTTCAAGTCTTTTCCTTCTCTACCATTTCCAACAAAGCAGGGGAAATAAATCAGTCTCAGAAGACAGGAAGCATCAGCACATGGTGATACCCTTTTCTTCCAATACTATTGATGCTCATATAGATGGATCACTTAAGAACAACCGGCTCAAGTCTCCAAGAAAATTCACACTGATGTCTGATGAGGAAGCCTTAAGTACCCACAACACCCTTTATAAGGAAAAGGTAGATCAAAGACCAACAGATTCAGACTTTTCACTAAGAAAACATTTTGTAGACTCCTTTTTACCCAAGACAAAAGCCAAGAGTAAGTTCATGGGCCCAAAAGAAAAGACTCAGAGGATGTGGAACAAGCCAGTCGACTTCCCTAGGATGCCAGTGTGGGAACATCCCGATAGACCAGAAACCATCGATCTGGAGCAATGGCAAAGCAACAGACTGAAAGCTGAAAATGACAGCATTAGAACCTCTCCAAACACAAGAGGTAAAAGTAATCCCTTTCTTACAACTGAAGATACAAATTTATCAGAAAAAGAGGAAATAAGGCAACGTGAATCCCTGATTATACAAGGAAGTAAACAGTTGAAATCTCTGTCTTCAGGCTCTTCTTTTTCCTCTCCTTGCTCTCACTCCTCATTCTCCACTTTGCCAACTGTTTCAAGGACTGTGGAACTCAAAGAAGAGCCTAATGTCATCATTTCTCCTGCTGACTGTTCCTTGGAACTTTCTCCTTCAATGCCTTGCATTTTAAGTTCCCCGCCCTTTAGGAGAGAGACACCCACTTGGATGCTGACTGTTGAAACCAAAAGGAACATTTCTGAAAACCTTCCCCATCCACCAAATCTACCTCCCCCTCCTTCTTCTCCTCCTCCTTCTCCTCCTCTTCCTGTTCCTCCTCCTCTTGTCCTTACTCCTTTTCCTCTCTCCTGTCCTTCTCCTCCTCCTTTTCCTCCTCTTCCACTTCTTGCACTTCCTGTTCCCCCTTCTCCCTCTACTTCTCCTCCACATCTTCTATCTTCACTTCCTTCTCTTCCTCCACCATATCCCCCTCTTCCTTCTCCACTGCCTCCTTCATCTTCAGTTCCATCCCCCAAGTGTGTTTGTATTCCCGTTGTTAAACACACTGTCAGTGTGACACAAGCCAAGGAAATGAAGTCCTCTAGGATACAGCTGTCAACATCAACAGCAGTGTGTAATGCAGATCCTCCAAGGGAACCAAGAGGCATCCTCAAGCATATTAAAAACCTAGCAGAACTTGAAAAGTCAGTTGCTAACATGTACAGCCAAATAGAAAAAAACTATCCACCAACACACATGTCAAAACCTCAAACTAGTTGCCCTTCAGAAATAACAAATAGAGAAATGACATCTGAACAAAACCAGGAGAATCTGTACAATATTGTCAAGGGAACTGAAAAACAATCTCCCAGTTCATCTACTTCACTGTAATCTTGCTTTTCCTGTTTTAACTGGACAACCCTTCTGTTGGCAATAATCTTCGAGTGGAGACAAATTTAAACATTAAAGAAGATTCGGTTCTTTTACCCTAAACTCAATGCAGTGCTGTTTTTTCCTCATTTTTAATTTAAAAGATTATTAACCTCATCATTACTAACTCATGTTATAGATTTACCTTAATTTTCTTAACTACGAACTAGCATTATTTGTCTACATTTATTTAAAAAGTAAGTAATTTTAACCTACTTTTCAATGGGAATATATGGGCTTGGAAGTCAGATATCTTAATTTATACCAGTGACTTGCTTATTATGTTAAGACAGTAACTTTTGCATTTACTTTTTCATCATAGTTTTATAGAGTGCTCCAGGGGAAAAGTAGATTGTTAAAAATAAGTTTAAAAATAACATCAGAGGTTCTGTTATTTCCTTGAAGCCTGTGTATTTGGTAAGAAGAAATATTACCAAAGTAAGATGTTATGTATCTAGAAATGTAGTCAATGATAGTGTGAGATTCTAAAATAAATCCCAGGTGCTATAAGATGTAATCATCTGTTTTCTTATAAGAACATTCTTTACTCTGGCTTGCTTTTATCTTACTAGTATGCTGATACATTTGATAAATCTTTTACTTTTTTCAATTGCTGTTTTATTCTATTCATTTCTCATTGTGCTTTCTTTTCCCTTCCTTACAATGTAAATAAATCTTGAGTTGTTGACTTTTGTAAGACATTTCATTGTTCCCACAGATGTTGAAAGTGCTCTTTAGTTTTGCTTGTCTGCATTATTATATCATCTCTTTAATCATAATTTTATCATAAGATCCTTCTTCAAAGAAAATATTTATCTCCAGTTTAATAAAGAGATTCTAACAAGTTTCATCAAAAGAAGTTTAAATTTTTTCTCCAAAGGCTTACCTAGTAAGAATTTAAAGGTTATTTCATTAATGAAAATTGTATTTTCTCTTAAGTTTATCAAAAATATAAAACATGCTTGTCTATTAAAATTTTAGAAAAGTGCATTACTGCCTTCATTCCTAGTTACTTTTACCTATTTATTTTTCGTACTTTTAATTACTATGGATAAATGATCCAAACTTAGCCTGTTGTATATAAATAAAATATAAAAATTAAAAATAGAAATCCAGAGGGAATATATCTGGTGAGCTGTCACCAGTTTTACATGGGCCTTTGCTCTTTGAGGCAAAGAAGATAAAAATTTTTGATAGGAAGAAATTCCTATAGCTTAGAGCTCAGCCTGTTAAATTCTTAAAGGTATCAGCTAAGATAAACACTACTTTCCTATTTTCTTAATGAAAGCTACACTTGACCATCAAGTAATTACTTTGATTTTTCTATCTAACATGTGGAATTTTATTTCCTGTAAACCCCCACTTGGAAGACAAGTATAATTATTTATTTTATTCTGCAGTTTTAGTATTTTAGAAGATATAAATCTGCACAGAGAAAAGCACAATTCCAAAACATAGGCAAAAGATCTTGCTTGATAAGTACCATTGTAAATATATTAATATATAGGCTCAAGAGCCCTACAGTGCATCATTTCAAAGGTTTTCATCCGCTCTCAGATTATGTGACATTTCCCCAAGAATTGTTGTACATCATACAATATCAGATTTTTTTTTAAATCTGTAAACTAATTATTTGATTAGCTCCTCTGCTTCAGATTCTTTTCATCCAAATCTAGAGTAATTTCTTTCTTGAGGTTCATGAACATGATTTTTTTCTTTCTTTTACTGAAAAACTTCAGTTGGAGGTTTTGTTGGCAGCTGGTCATATGCATGAGAACTTGTGCTATTTGGCGGACCCTGACAAGGTATTATTCACAATTGTGTAAGATTGTAATGTGAGTGTGTGTCTTTTTAAGCTATTTTGTATCAACATCTTGGAAATATAAAAGAAATTCCTTGATAATGAAACTTCTAAGTATTTACCAAAGAAATATTATAATAAATCCAAATAACTATTTTATTAGGTACCTAAAACCTTCCTAAATCATTGTCCTTTTACATAACATTTTTATATTTGTATAATCTAAAAATTTTATTAATATTTTATACTTTTCAAATGAAATACCCATTCCCATGTTTTATATTTAATCTGGTTTTTTACTGACACATTATATCTAGAGATTCCTGGCTTCATCATAAAAGTCAATTAGAATATCTTCTACATGAAACCTATAAATATGCTTTACATACACAAGCCAAAATATTACTCTTCTTCTCATTTTCTAAACTCTACAACCTGACAACTAACCTCTAGAAAAAGAATCCTTTTTTCCCCCTGCATTTATGTTCCAATTAGTCATAATTATTAGGTACCTCATTAAAAGACATGAATAGGTTACCACACATTTTCCTTATTGTTAAAAAGAAACTATAGTACATACAAGTGGTGTAAGATGAACAATATACACATTGGATATAAACTATGTAAAAAGATGTTTCAATATTATAGGACTGGTCTTATAAAGACGAATAGAAAGTCATGTTAATTGAAAGCACACAGGTAATTGTACATATTGATTCTGTTGTGCGCCTTTTCTGGTCACTTTTTTTGCCCTTGAGTTAAGACAGACAATGCAAATAACCAAATGAAAGGCAACAACAAGGTTAATGGAAACAATATAGTTCATCTATTGATATTTTATCACTAATGGAAAGAGGCAGTTTAAATATCCTCGAATATAAAGCCTAGCTTTGGCAGGACATTTTATATAATGTATGTGACTTAAATGTCACTATGAAAACCAAAGTACGAGCTTTCTGTATCTCGAGTAAAAGTTGATACAAATTGAGTAAAAGGTGAAAATATCTAAATTTCTAAATATTTCCAAAGGATGATCATTCTCATGACTATTGGGAGAATCACATAAGCACTCTGTAAAATTCATTACTACCACAAAATACATTTTTTACTGAGGAAAGAACCATTTCAAATAATAAATTGCTGATAGGATTAGTTGACATTATACAACCATTACTGTCAGCAGTTTCAATCAACAATGCCTTACGCACGTTGTAAGATGCATTCAGATAAGTAGACTTATTTTGTAAAAGTCTGGTAATACTTTAAGGAAATTTCCTAAAGTGATTGATTGTTAGGTTTTAGAAAGTTATGTACATACCTCTTCATAATAAATACTCATTTAAATTGTTTATTAGTTCCATAAAACATGGTCAACAGCACCAGTTTAATACTTTAGGTCAACTGTTTAATGAGTAGTAAATAAAAAATCTTCAAGTAAATGAAATTCAACATTGAAAACACTATACACTTTCATCCTTCCCAGGTACAGCCAAATGTTTCACTAACTTGCAGTCTATGAACTTTATAAATCATTTTTGCAGTATGAATGTTTGGTTAATACATCGTTAAAAATCTTTTCATTTATGTCTAATAATAGAGTTGACCCTTAAAGACTAGTAAATATTTTGCTTTCATTATTTTTAGAATAAAATGACACAAACAGAAAAAAAAAGTCATCTTATAAACATTTGCAAGAATATATTCAAGTCATGGAAATAAGTTTTTATCCTGTACCGTTGTTTTTCATGTGTGAAATACATCTTCTTCCCCAAATGAGTATTTTATATGTATCAGGACCTGTCTAGGACAGAGATGGTGTAGAATATTTTTAATCCAGTAGGTCATATAGAATCAAACTGTGCTATTATACACCATTGAAATAAAATAGATTGTGCATGGTCTGGTGTTCATACGGAAAGTCTGGGGCATTAATTGTTTTTAGTAATGCAGGGACAAATCCTTGATCCTCCTGTCTTGATACTACCACAAAATACATTTTTTACTGAGGAAATTTTTTAGCAAAAATCGTCTTCCCAGTTTTTCTCAGACTTTTTAAAGTCATCCTTATCTATAATTTTAATTCAGTCTGAAAATTCAAGATGTTTAATACTGATTTCTTTGTTTCCACCTTGCAGGAGAGGTTATGCATCAGAGGTAAGGGCCATCTGGTGTTATGTTCTGTCAAGTTTGCTCAGGAAATACTTGCATTATAGGCAGCACTGACTTGTATTCCTTCAAAACTAGGGTATTTTCCTTTATTTCAACAAAACATATAAATATACTATGCTATTTGTTGCTTCTTTGTTTGGGGCTTTATGTCTATTATTCAGTGGGTGAACACAGATCAACTGCTCACCTTTTCAAAGATAAATTACTGTTTTAACCTTAATTACTTTTGCTCAATATTGTGACATTCCCCCAAATTTCTTTTTCCTAAACTGTAAACCTAATTTAGAAACTGTGGGATTACTTAAATTTTGTTCTTTCTATCAGTCCAAGGCTCCTTCCTATCATATTAGGGCTTGAGATTGTAAAGAGTCAAAAGAAAAAAAAAGCCCATTAGAAAGCTTGGATTTTCTTTTGTGCTAATTTGTTTCTTGGTCTATAAAAAAAAAACAAAAAAAAAAACCGGGCATTCTGGCCAACAGTATTTGACTAGCCACAGTAAGTGGTGCTCTCTTTGAAGTCATTGAGAACTTAGCATACAGATTCTCAGTGAAGAGAATGAAATAAGGATATGACCTAATTGGCTAATAGTTCAGAATGTATAAATTCTAAGTTATTTGGAAATCAAGATGAATGCATTTAGCATAATTGCTGTTGAGGAATAGAGGGATAATATAAGAACTAACAGATTAAATCAGAATATTTCTAACAAAATTTCCCACCCCTTTAAATGAACACCTTATCTAAACTAACTCACTAACATCTGTACCATGGAAAGTCTACCTTTTCAGTCAACTAGTTCTAATGGTGACTTCAAACAGTTGGTTCATTGCTGGAATTATCTCCCAGAACTTCTATGCCCACTTTCCCAATACTTACTTTAAGATGTCTGTTGTATAACTACCACCTCCAATCCAAGGGCTGATAAGCCAAAATTTTACTTGTGTATCTTATTTCCAATCTGGCTAAAGTATAAATTTTCATGAAGCGGATCAATAAGAGACTGTTTCCTTTATGAAAGAATGGGTCATGTGAAGAGGCAGAAGGAAGTGATGCCTGCAAAATCCGAGGAAGGATAATCCCCTAGTTCCAGAAGCATTTCCAAAAACATTCTTAATGCCTGAGTATGAACAGTCCACATTTTGGTAAAAAGAAAAATGGGAAGCATGTCTTATGATGATGACTATATTACAGCTACACTATTTTGTGTACTCTACCCTTCTTCCTAATGAACCTGATTACATTTAATGTGATTGGGGAGAAAAAAAAGGGACAATTTAAAACTAGGTTGAATTTGTTAAAAAACAATTGTGTAACATTTCCAAGTGCTTTTAGTACTAGAAGTAACTCTTTGTACTATGAGTACAAGTACTTTGTACATATAGTACTATGTACTATAAATTACTCATTTTTATTTATTAAAGTTATTAACTTTTATGTTAATTAAATGATGAAATTAAAGCCAAAAATTATTTATACATTTTTCTTTATTAAGGTTAACTTCTGTGTTAAGTAAAACAATGATGAAATTAAAAACAAATTTTTTTTTATGTTCCAACATGAGTAGCCAAAATAGTATTTAATGTTGTTGGTAGCTATCACATAAGTAATAAAACATAACCCCAAGGTAACCAGTTTTAAGCTGTGATCTTTTTTTTCTCTCTTCTGATCATAAGCTCTTTTTCCCATCTGAATTATTTTCTAAACCTTTTTCTATTTTAATTTCCTTTAGCAGCAACAGCAGCTGCTGAGACCTTCTCTTCTTAAACCAGAGGTATCAATTTTCTTTTTCGTTTCAACCTCGCTGAACCTTCACAATACTGGTCCATCTTACATGTAGGTAGAGTTGGGTGCTGCCAAGGTGGCATGATTTTACAGGTCAAAGAAGAAAGGGCTTTACATTTTTAAAAAAATCAATAAATAAGCAAATCACTTCCTCCTGCTTGTTAGTGGCAGAAATTCCAAGTTTTTAGCTTTATTCTCTAAGGAATTAGATAACTAAGACCTTTGCTCCTATTAAAAACAAGCTGGCATTGAATGAGACAAGTCATGAACCTGATCTGTCGGTTGCCTTCATGAACCTAGATTCATCAGAACTATTCCTGAGATTGGATTTAGATTAAGCAAAGTTTGAGGAAAGAATGCTGACATCTTGTGCTGAAATAATAGAAGGAAGTAATTGAGTTATGACCAATGGTCTTTAATCATTTTGTGTGATTCAAAACCCTGCCTTTGGGCACAGGTCTATTTCAAAGGGTCTAAGTCATTTTCTACTGCAATGAGAAAAATATATTCAGAGTTATATAGTAGCTGCATGTCATTTATATTTATTGATTATGCTATATATACTGCCTAGATTTAAAAAAAATTAAAAGTGATGTAAATGTTAAGTATCTCTTTCCTTTGGCAGATTTAGTATTTTATAAGCTCCACTTTAAAAAGGTATTTCTTTTATTCTTTTTCCTTAACAATAGAATCTTAGCTTTGCTAAAGAAAGGAATTTTGTGGTTAGAATTTACTCCCCAAAATCTGAAAGTTGAATGGCAGGAATTCAAACTTCTGTAAAGTTTTAGCAAACATTGCCATGGAGGCATCTCCATAGACTATTGAACCAGGGAATTCTGATTTAAAATCCAAATGCCAATTACTAGATGCAAAACCTTAGTCAACAGATGCATTTTCCTGAGCAACAGTTTCATCTTCTATAAAATGTTGGCAGTAATATTGAATACTTAAACTCCTACTCAGTAACTGGGACAGAGTAGGAAGAAATTCAGTAAATGGTAGTTGTTATTGGTATTTTTGTTTGATCATTTTATTATTATACTTGGCTCGAAAGGTACTAAATTAAGTTTATATCTTCTCTGTGTGTTCAGCAAAAATGACTTAAAAACATTAAGCATTTGCCCATAAAGTCACTTTTAGAATGCTACCTAGTATGATTTTCCAAACTCTTAAGATTCTCCTGCTAAGGGGATGGCAATAGGGAGCAGCAAAAAGGGTCAACTTTCTACTGTCTGTCCAGGTCAACCTAGGTCACCAGGTCCTTCTGCAATTTTTTTTTTTTTGCTGAAGAGATGATGTTCTGTCCTTCAGTAATAGCTGGTGTAAGAATCCAAGAGGGATCCTTCAGATTATTCCCTTCTATGAGCTCCCATGTCTTCTTACCCAAATCAGACTATGGATCGACTGACTGAATCAGGGATTAAGTTTCCTAGGTTTTTTTCCAGTTGCTTCTATCCTATTATATATTTTGAAGTCATCTGCTGCTGGATATGTGTTGTAGCTAGCAAGAGCTGAGCTCTATTTTCCTTTTAGGAAAAAAATAGTATGCATTTGTAAAGATAATTATCTGATTTTTAAAATCTGAAATCCACCAAGTTACATTGTCTCCATAAATACTTGTTTTTATTACTGCTGGAAGTTATTAAAATTCTATTGCAAAACCATTTTTTTAAAATTGTTAAGAACATGTAACTTGAGGTTTTCTTTCTTAACAAATTTTTAAGAGTATAATACAATATTCTTAACTATAAGCACAGTTTTACAGCATATCTTTATAACTTTTTCATCTTGCATAATTAAAACTTCATACCTATTGCATAGCAACTCTCCATTTCCCCCTACCCCCAGCAACCATCATTCTACTTTCTGCTTCTATGAATTTGATTTTTTTAGGTATCTTGTATAAGTAAAATCATGCAGCGTTTGTCCTATGACTGGCTTATTTCACTTAGGATAATGTTTTCAAGGTTCATCCATGTTGTCACATATAGCAGGACTTGTTTCTTTTTTAAGGCTGAGTAATATTCCATTGTATATAAATACCACCTTTTCTTTATCAATTGGGTTTCAAATTCAAAATCATTTTCTGATCTTTTCTTAGTCTCTGTATGTATTAGGTTAAACATGCATTGGCCTAACAATTTAAAAGTATTAATTCTGAGGCCCATTTGTTTCATTTAAACCAATGTAATTACTTTGGGTTTTAGAAGCAGCAAAAGTCTAAATCTACCAATATGAAACATAAGTATTTTTAAAGTATTTAGTTTTGATAACTTAAATTTAGACGTTCACCTTGTCCCAGTTTCTTATTGGTCTCTCTTGACCTCATTTCCCACCCCTTTTCCTATATAAACATTTTTTGTTAAATCAAAACTACAGACATAAAAGTACATAAATCGTACTGCACAGGTAGATGGATTTTACAGAGTTCATGTCCCCTACCTACTGGCTTTTCAAAAGCCCCTCCATGTCAACACTCAGATGTTATTTCTCCTTTCCCTAACCACTCATCTGGCACCTTTTTTTTCCCCCAACATAAATACTTAAATATTTAAAATATGTAAAGCCATATATGTGTGTGTGTGTGTGTGTGTGTGTGTGTGTATGTTTCTTTAAGCTATAAATGACAAAATTATAAGACATTCAAAGTGTACATTGCAGTGATTTGATATATAGAGGTATTATGAATGAATTCCCATTATCTAGGTAATTAGCAGGTCCATAACCTTTTGTATTTATGTCTTTTGATGAGAACGTTTAAGCTGTACTCCCTTAGCAAATTTCAATTACACAATACAGTGTTTTCAATGGTAATCACCATGTTTTACACTAGATCTTCAGACTTTATTCATCTTAGAGCTTAAGTTCTTTTACCAAGTTCTTATTCCTCAGCCTGCAGTCCCTGATGGCCACTTTTCTATTCTCTGTTTCTACACTTTGACTTCTTATTTTTGTATTTTTTATATTCCACATAAAAGTGATACCATGCATTGTTTGTCTTTCTTTTTCTGGTTTGTTTCACTTAGCATAATGCCCTCAAGTTCCATCCATGTTGTCACAAATGATAGTATATCCTTCTTTCTAAATGTAGGATATTGTTGTGGGATGTACTGGTAAATGCATTGGTTCGAGCTTTTGGCTGTGACAAATGAGGTATTTCAGGGCACAATTGTATACACTTATGTTGGGGATATAAATTGAACTATATTGAATTTCTGTGAGAAGATATACATAAACTTGACTTTAGTATTCTTGCCAAATATTTTCCAAATGTTGCTAATTTATAAGATCTCCAAAAGTATACGATAGTTCCAGTCACTCCATGTCACTGTCAAAACATGATATTATTGATCTTTTTCCTTTTTAAAAACTTTTAGTTATTCTAATAGGTAAGCTGAAGCAGTTTTAACATCAAAACCTCATTCCTTTGCAGTTGGTTCACTCAGTATTTGTAAACTGTAAAGCCATCAAATAGTAGAGTAGAGGGATTAAAAAGTTAAATTAACATTGAAAGACATAATATAAATGAATGGAGTTTATTAGATGTTAACTAAAAGAACAGGTGGGAGATCCCATGGTGACTGTATAAACATAAAACAGTATGTCTGAGGATATACTAGTAACCACAAGAAAACATGATTGCTCTAAGGAGTAGTGCCAGCAATTAAATTCAAGACATGTAAAATCATGAGGGCAGTGTTGCTGTCTTTTTATTTTTCAAAAGAAATCAAAATCCAAATTTTTTTAAAACATTTTCTGATTAGAATTTTGGCAACTAATTCAATTTTTCTAATGATGTTTTCCAAACAAAGTGCAAATGAGGGTCATTGGCCATATCCATCATTCAGGCTGTGAATGTCCACATTTTCAATATCTTTCTGCCCTCAGAGGATGTCTTTACCTGCCTAATTCATTACTCTACTTGGGCCAATAAAATTCATTCTTACAAATAATACATCTTAGAAATAAGTACCTGCCTATTTTCCTGTGGATACCTAGATGGTTTCCTCCCTGCCTTTCCTTACTTCACTGTAAAGTTAATTGGTTTATCTCTGTAGTTCAACCTACTGAAATGTTAAAATATCATTAAAAAGGGAAATAAAACTGAATGTAATAGTTACTTACAACTAGTTCTATATGTGTGTCTCAGGAAAAACATCTTTCTTTAAGAGCAGAGTGACAAAAGTCAGTATTGTCTAGAATTTAGAACTGGAAACCTTGACAGGGCCTGTTCCCTGCCAAATTTCTCTTTAAAAAAATTCAGAGTTAGCGATATGCTTTAAAACGTAAATATCCCTGGGAGATAGCACATATTAATGTTTTTTATTGATGTATAAATGGTATTATCAGAACCTTTTTATAAGAATAGCTTTTGATGAATAGAAGTGTTCTAGGTACTAGAAAACTGTTATTAGAAGATGAAACAATGCTGAAAATAACATTCTTTTTCTAATTTTCCTTAAAGCCGAGGTCTGTTAATAATATAAGTTAAAATAGAGTGAAATATTAAAAGTCTATTGGCACTTTTTAAAATTATTCAAAAACAGGTTCTCATCTGTAATCACTGGCAGACTTACCATAAGAAAAAATTGATTTTTTTACATCTTTAGTTCCAATAACTTTATTTCATGTAAAATTGTTATAGCCAGAGAAAAATATTTGAACACGTTTAACTAACATTGGTAAGTAAACTTATTTTGGCAGGAGTGTTTTGAGAGTCATCAAATCTAGGTCTGGAATTCTGACTTTGAGCTAAAATATGATAAGAATTTATTTTCAAATGCAATTTCTCTTTTTGAACAATAGGAGTTATCCATGGAGTCTGGAATTGATCCTGGCCAGGAATATGGACAAGAGCATTACAGTTATGAGCATGGGTACAACGTCAGATTTGTTTATCCAGTATCTTAATATTTTTATGACTAATGATTTATTAAGTGATTATTATTACTAGTATTTGTCTTATAAATTCCATTTCATCAGTTTCACCTTTGAAAATGAGTTATATATCTAGTTTTATGTACTAATTTCAATCAAGTTTTATCCACCTTTCTATATTGAGTTCTGTTTTGATGTTCTATATTGATATTGACTACAACTAAAAATTCAGTAAAATCATTCAGTTATCTAAGTGAGAAATAAAAGTCAAACATATTTGCTCAATTCCTGAATTCACCATTTCTTTCATATGAGATGTTTAACACTTTATCTAACCAGTCATTCTTAAGATTTGCCCAAGAGAAATTAAGAAGAAAATGTACTTTAAAGTCCAAGTAGAAGCATTTCAAAAGTTACTTCTATACAGATAAGTTAATTGAAAAATATAGTAGAAGAATGTACAGACCATTACAGATCATGTTTGAGGCAGATCTTTATTTTAGAGACTTTATGTTCTGAATAAGCTTATTATATAAGGAACAAAATGTCTTTCTTTTTACTCCCCTTTCTCCAAAAGTTTAAATCTGAAATGACTCAGTACTTTTTATTTTTATTCCAGGGCACCATTATGGCCAAAATCATTGGTCATCAGGTTATAGTTCTTGACCTGTGGTTTTATAACTAGTTTACAAAGGCACCTAATAGATGCTATATAAATATCTGTTTATTGAATGATGCAGAAAAAGAGGAAAACAGAGACCAGTTATGGTTACACAGACCACATGAAAACATGTTTTTAGTTGTAAGTTTCTGTTACAGGTATGAAATGCCTCAATATGGAAGTCGCCGTCGTTTGTTACCACCTGTTGGACAAGAGGAATATGGTGAGGTAGTTGGTGAAGCTGATGAGGAATATGAAGAGGAAGAGGTAAGTACTATAATTTTCTTATGTAAGGTTAATATTACAACACGAGTATTTTTTAACCTTATTTGAATAGCAGGCTACGTAGTGTTTCAAAAATCAGAAATCCTATTCATTTGTTTTCCATGGAAATTTAATAATGCTGGCCATGTCATTGCCTTGTCTACAGAAATTCATTTTTATGTTTATTTTCTTCTATGAAATGTCAAACACCTAGAATAAAGCCACAATAAAATTTACATTTTCTAAAATCCTAAATGTTACCCCATAAATAAAATATTATAACCACATACAATAAAATCTATTTTGCAAAACAGTAGTAACTTTGATTCCCACATTATCTAGCATACCTGAAAGTCATGAAAAAGTGCATTCTCCATCTTTCAGGTATCAGAAAATAGTAGCATATTACCACCAATATTATTAATGGAATTTTGTCATTTGTGTTTAAAAATTAACATGAGTCATTTATATCAGATTCTTATACTTTGCATTTAATATTTACTTTGACCATTTATCAAAAAAAAACCACTCAAATAAATTTCACTGTTGTTTTACTCTGTTCAAAATTAAGAAAATAGTTAAATTTTCCATAAACTATTCAGATAAACTATCATAATTTCCTGATTCTTTAAAATTTTGTTAAAAGAAATACATAAAACAATTAATCAAAGTCTAGGAATGGGAAAAGGAAAAGGCAATAATTATATCTTTCTCTTTTTCCAAGATGCAAAATAAATTTTGAATAACAAAAAGAATGAGAAAACATTAGATTTTGGTATTATAAAGTACAATCCAAAACTAAAATAATTTACTTTTCCTTTATCACTTATTATGTCTATGCAGTGGGGATAAACAGTAGAGAATTGTGTGATTGTTCCCTGGAAGTAGTTCTATAACACGCATGAAACTCACTCTGCAGACTCATTCCTGCTTAGTTTATGTGGGACAGAGTCATGTCATAACCATCCTCCAGCTGATGCTTCAATTGCATTTTCATGATTTTCAGGAAAAGGCCAAGGAAATTAAAAAACCGAAAGTTGAAATTAGAGAGCCTAGTGAGGAGGAAGTAGTTGTTACTCTGGAAAAACCACCAGCACCTGAGCCTACATACACAACATGGAAGAGAGCCAGGATATTCCCGATGATCTTTAAGAAAGTTAGAGGACTGGCGGACAGAAGAGAGGTCACAGGCCTGGAGGGTGAGGAGTGGCAGAGAGGCCTTGAGGAAGAAGATAAGGATTATTTGAAGTTAACTCTGGACCAAGATGAAGCTACAGAAAGCACCGTAGAGTCAGAGGAAGAATCCTCAAGTGACTACACTGAGTACAGTGAGGAGGAGTCGGAGTTCAGTGAGTCTGAGACAACGGAGGAGGGGTCTGGGTCAGAGACACGGTCTGAGGAGGAGGAAAGTTCTACGCCTGCATCAGATGAGTCAGAATCTACAGAGTCGGAAGGAGAAAAGGCAAGGAAAAACATCTTTATTGCAAGAAGACGACCCATTGCTGAAGAGGTCAAGGAAGTCAAAGGCAGAAAAGAAGCAGCACCCCAAGAGCCAGAAGTGCCAAAGGTGGAAGAAGACGAGCACCCAGCGGGAGAGGACAGCGAGCTGACCGCTGAGCGGGAACCGACAGACCGTGAGTCTCAAGACGCCACTGAGGAGGGCAGTGCAGAATCAGCTTCGGTCGAAAGCAGTTTGGAAAGTGAGGAGGAGTCAGGATCGGTCAGCAGCAGTAGTGAAAGTCAGTCCGGAGGTCCGTGGGGCTTTCAGGTGCCAGAGTACGAATCAAGCAAGCGTGCACCCCGACGGAAGTCTCCGGGAGCCAGTGAGGGTTACAACACGGCCCTCTGAAAGAGATGGCAGTAGGTGGGAGTTTGCAGTGCTGAGTGCCCCTGTGTGCAGTGCTTCCGTGTGTTCTCTGAAGCGCCACTTGACGCGGAGGAAACCGATCATGATTTTTATCTGATTTAAGATTAGAAGCATGCCAGAAAAGTGATATCTAGGCTTCCAGATAGATTTGTGTATTAGTGTTATTAGAACAAAACTGACTTATCTTTCCTATATTAGTAATTCAGAAGACACGCGATGAGTTAATCAATATTTAATATTTTCCAGTAGGATTTCTGTTCATGCAGTGTGACCTTCTCTGTCTTACCAATGAGGCCCTTCCTATTGAAATGGATTATGGAATATATAGGGTGCTATTTATATTGTCTTTTGAAAGCAAATGCTTAGGACAAGCTGCAGCAAATGAGATCTATAAAAGTCTACTTCTGAATATATGTATATTTCAACTTGCAAAAGTATATCAGAAATGTCATGGGCGTATTTACCTAGGTTTGTATCTGGAGCTTTCAAATATTAGGAATTAAATGAAATAAATATTTTGAAAAATAAATTTATTACCATTCTTTTCCATTACGGATATGAGTTAAAGAGGATATAGAAAAAATAAATTGTAACAGTTATAATTTTGGCCTTGGGTAAGTAAACATAATGATTTTAAAATACTATCCTGAAATCAAAAAGCATGGCTTACTTACAGCAGTGGGTTAGTAGTTTACGTATCCCAAAAATGCAATAGTATTTTGAGAATACTGTTTTAACCTTTGCTTCTTGCCATTTTCAATCTGGATTGGTAAAAGAAAAATAAATTTGTGAAAAGGCCATTGTGTTCCAGTTGCTTACTAAAGGAAAATTTACAATAATTAGTTTTCATTTTTTGTGTAATACTAAAAAAAGAAAATGCAACCTGAGAAGATATTTTTTTGAGTTACATATTTAAATGAGATGACCCAGAAAACACAGGATACTTCAAGTGAATAAATGCATTAAATTATACATAAAGTGTGGCTAATAATGAAAGATTAATTAGAATGCAGGTTTAAAAATATCTTTAAAATACTGGGTATAGAAGTATCAGCATGAACAGAACACACAAATGCTGTGCCTTTCTTTCAAGTTAATTTTTCTGAAAAGTATAGCAGCTCTCAAACAATGATTCAGATCTTAGTCAACTATAAATTATACACATTTTATTTTTCACATGAAGCAGTGATTTGATCTAAAAGAATAAAGTGCTTCCAGAAATGTCTGTTTCCTAACTTAGCAACACTCTCTTCAGAAATTAGGAAACTCTAAAACCAACTGGTGGAAAAGAAACTGATGTTAATAAGAGTTGCTTCCCTCTACTTCCTTTGAGTTATTTACCTTTGAGAGCTACTACCTAAGATTTTGAATTTTACAGGCATTGTAATCTTTCACCTTTTAATGCCTTTGATAATGACTCACATACTGGTTTTTTTTTTTTGACAGTGGGCAAGAAAAAGAATGATCAAGTTAGTTGTTGATCGAGATTATGAAACTAGCTCAGCTGGAGAAGACAGTGCACCTGAATGTCAGAGAAACCGTCTTCACAATACAAATATTCACAGTAACATCAATGGCAATATATATATTGCACAGAATGGTTCTGTGGTGAGAACCCGCCGGGCCTGCCTCACTGATAACTTAAAAATTGCTTCTCCCATGCGATTAGGAAGGCACTTTAAGAAACTAGACAAATTGTCAGTAACTCATGAGGAGAATGTCCCCCTAAACACATTATCCAAGGGGCCATTTTCTGCTGAGAAAATGAACACAGGACCAACTCTGGTTACATTTGCCCCTTGCCCTGTGGGGACTGAGAGAACAGCCGCAAAGCCATTGGGGAACAGGCTGAAAAGCACAGTTGAACAGGAGTCTACAGTTGACAGTAAGAACATCAAGGAGGCACTGGAATTTCACAGTGACCACACGCAATCAGATGAAGAAGAGCTTTGGATGGGCCCCTGGAACAACCTCCATATACCAATGACGAAACTGTGACCAATTTTTTAAAAGTTATTTTTATTTTTACTTCAGTTTTTGATAAACTGTGCTTTTTATTGTCCCTGAGAAAACAATGTATGGAATTTATATCATGCACACAAGCTTAAAGTTTGAACAATATGCTTTAAAGTTTAAAGAGGCAGATTTGCACTCCCATTTGTATCAATTTAATTGTTCTTCCCAGAAAATCTTTTTGGACAGACTCTCAATTCACTAAATAACATATCATGTAAACATTTAGCTGCTCTGTTGGGTCTTGAATTTTATTTTCATTTTAATAAACAAGAGATAATTTACTAAGTAATCATTTATATTTTGTTGATTAACATAGATTATTCTTCATCCCTAGCTTCACAGAGCTCTTTTTGGGACATGTAGTTTACTTTTCATAAAAAAATGGAAAAAAATTATAGTAAAAGATTTTACAGGTAATGGGTTTATACAGCTGCTGTCTACAACATCCTGATTTTTAATGAAAGATAGAATTACAAAGTGAGAGTTATTGTGGGGATGTTCTGTATATCATGTAGAATCATGAACCTATTTTCCTTATTGTCCAATATAAAGTTTTTCAGATTTTTACCTATGTGTATGTTGACCTTTTAAGGAACACTTGAAGTCATATCTCATTTATAGATATCACCCACAATTTTCCCTGGCACATGCCCCCCACTTCCCTCCCCACAACCCCACACACAAACACACACACACTCTCTACGAACACTATGCATAACGAACATAATTAAGTTTAGCCATTCAAGTTAAAGAATTTTTTGGAGCATCACAGAAATCTCACCCCGGAGAAAGCTTACTGAGGTGGGAAAGGGTCAAACAGGCAATGATGCATCTAGAAGCACAGCGTCAATACAGATGTAGTAAGATCGCAGAAGTCTCACGTTAATGTCATTGGAAAATAGTATTTCATAAACTCAGTATAAAGGAACTTGTGAGGGTTAAGAATTTATATAGTATGTGAAATGCTCATAAAGGCCGTAAGTCCATAACTTACAATGTATTATAGTATATCAGTTCTCCCAGCTCCAGTTTATTTATAGAATATTTCTAATGCACAATATTCATGTGCATGAAATGCAGAACCAGAAAATGGTTGTCTGGGCATTTTTTTAATCAAAGAATAGTCTTGATTTTTCACCATTGAACAAAGCACAATTTTTCACCATTAACAGAAAATGAAGTATCCTTCAAAAAAAAAATCTCCAAAACCTGCCTTGTGTATTGCCTACTCTCCATATGTAAAAATGATGAAACAATATAATTCAAGAGAATTCAGAATTCTATTGACTGTGGCTTAGTGTGATAGAGCTCACAATACTTTCACAGTATTGACTAAATTCAAATTTCAATAAAATCATGCATGCTTATTTTATGGTTGAAAATTGAATAATGCACTATTATTTCCCTCTTAATATGTTTCATATTTTAAAAGTTTGTTTATTTTAATGCTATTTTCTATTTCCAAAGTGAATGAATTGTATGTAACATAAACTTGCCAACTGAGTAGTATGTTTTAACTTGAGATGTCAAAAGTATTTGAATTCAAATACAGTAACATCTTATTTATCTGATATTATTGGAAATTAATGCATTCTATACCCTTGCTAGAAAAGCTGTAAGCATCAGCTGGGAGTGTATTAGAAATATAGAATTTTGCCTACACCCCCCAGATCAACTAAATAAGAATCCATGTTCTAGTAGGATCCCAATGTGTTCTATACCCTTGCTAGAAAAGCTGTAAGCATCAGCTGGGAGTGTATTAGAAATATAGAATTTTGCCTACACCCCCCAGATCAACTAAATAAGAATCCATGTTCTAGTAGGATCCCAATGTGTTTGTAAATTTTGAGAAGTAAGTATCTATATGGTTGAACATCAGGGCTTACTCCTTAAAGCACCAAAGCAATGTTTTTAGTATGAAATATTTTGGATAGAAGTTAGATTAAAAATACAGTATTTTCCTACTTGATCATTCAGATTACTAGGTGTAATTTAATATTGTCCTGATGTCCCGGGTTCATCTCAACTAGTATCCCATAATCTCTCTGCATAGAGCTTTATGTACTTTTTCTCTTTTCAGGCTGTGATAGTTAACTAATTTTGTCACTGTGCCTCTCTAAAATATCTTCCAGTTTACTTCTAATTTCCTGGTGAGACAGTTTGCCTTTGTTTTGCTGGCTGTTATTGAAAAACCATTAAACCTGAGATAAGGTTCAGGTATGTGGGTTCAAGCAAAAGTTTTGTGATTCTCAGAAGCATTTTGGTGTCACTGGTGAGTCTGAGCACTATCCTAGAGATCTGAAGTTGGCAGAAGATTAGTGCCCTGATATATAAGATGTCACTGTATTTTAAAGTTCAATATTTACAAGGTATTTGCAAAATACTACAAGCTACTTAGCAGACATATTTCAACAATTTCCAGTTGATCATTTCAGTAAAAGTAATCATGAAGTTAATCTATCCCTAAGTTAATGGAGACAGTAAAAAGGTATGTAGTATTTATACAGAGAAACCAAATTAAATATTTGGTCAGTATATCTTGAGGTCAAGTATACATGACAGCAGAAACATTACCAGCTAGCTACATAGGTCTGGACAGATTGAATAGTTACTTTGATAGGAGTTTCACTATTCTATAAAGTTCTGACTCAGGAATAAAATTGTAGAACCCAGGAGAGATATCCAAATATGTCTAAACTTAAGAATACTTCCTATAAATGATGGTTTTATGTACATGTTTTTATTGATGGTTATTTCTCCCAGGGAGGCATAGCAATATTTTGTCATTTTACTTTATCAGCACCAGCTTTCAACAAAGCAGAATAAACAGCAGATTTTGGCCAGTTAAGATTAGAATGGACTAATATGATGACAAAATTGCTAAACCTATTAATTTCAGGAGAGGGTCTCATGGGCAGAAGAGCAAGGGGAAGAACGAAAAACTAAAGTCAAGGTGGCACAGAACA